GGACAACATATAATGGTTACATATTAAAAGCAAAAACTTTTTTTTTCTTAAATAAAACAGAAGAATTAGTTTAACTAATCACCTCAGTTCTAGGATTAAAAATATTATTCTATGGAGAGTTTTTTTCCCCCAAATTCAGATGTGTGACCTTTGACCACAAACCATCTCCCTGCAGGGGTTGAGGTTCAGGGTGACTGCTCTGACAGCAACATACAAATAGAGGGGGGTGAATACATTCTGAGCAGGAACCTGACTAGAGACAGCCTGCTGGTCTACAAGTGCAAAGAAGGCTATTATCCATACCCCACCCTGACCCGCTTGTGTCAGCCCAATGGATCCTGGAGACCTGCACCAAAAAAATTTATCAGACAGAGATGCAGACGTGAGTAAAACCTATCAGTTTTTACCTCAGACTGCCTGCTCTGAACGGTAACTCAGATTCTTCCTGTTTCAGGCGTTGAGTGTCCAGACCCCAACGTGCTGCAGAACGGAGACGTCTCCCCTCCTCAGGAGAGCTACTTTGTGGACAACGAGACCACCTATGAGTGCTACTCTGGGTATACACTGAGAGGCTCCGTCAAACGGACCTGTTTACCCAACGGGAAGTGGAGCGGCCTCACTCCGATCTGCAGCCGGGACTGTGAGTAACACAGAGAGGGCTTTGGTTTTCTCTTAGCTTCATTAGCAAGTTTTTAGGTTTCAGTAGAACACATAAGAAGTTTACAACAAGCAAAGCATTTATTTCTTTATCTTCATTCAAATATTGTTGTTGTTTTGTTGTCTTCAAGTCACAAATTACAGAAAAGAAGACAGCTGTTTGGTTTCTTTTGGTTGAACTTTGCATTCTTCTCTTGCCACAGCTGGAGATGTCTGTGCTGATCCTGGAATCCCGCCTGGCGCCTCCAGAACAGGAAACTTATTTGGGATTGACGACAAAGTGCATTATAGGTGCACCGGCAACCTGTTTCTGGTGGGCTCTAAAGAAAGAACGTGTCAGGAGAACGGCCAGTGGACGGGCCAAGAGCCGGCGTGCTACTGTGAGAACAAGATCTTTATTTGTGGCTGCATGTTTGGTCATTTGATCACAGGATTCACAATCAGCCTTACTTGTATTTTTGTTACTCCTTGCAGACAAACACACGTATGACACGGCACTGGAAGTGTCAGAAGCATTTYGAGCTGCAATCAAAGACAAGTTCCCCACTGTGTATAGTAAGTTTTATTCCTAATTGTAGATTATATACAAAATTACTCTTTTTATGTGATAACTGTTGTGATAGCATGTTCCATCGACAAACAACACAAATAAAGACTAACAATTTATTGTTCTTTTTAATGAAACTAATTCCACTGACCTTGATTTTTCTTGTCGTGGCTTCGAGTTATGAATGAGATTTTTATGGCACTTTAAATTTTTGCTGATTCCCAGATGAGCCATATGTAGAACGATTCATTTCAAACACTGAGATTCTAAATATTTACATCGCTGTGGACATCTCTGAGAGCATCGACAAAAAAACGGTTGAACAAGCGAGAGACGCAGTCAAAACTCTGATCAAAAAGGTAAGACAGGAAAAGACAGAGAGTGTTAAAGAATCTCTGAAGATGTTTGTTTTTTGGAGTTTCCAGTTGTTTTATGTTTAATCCATTACATTGTAGACTAAACAACATACAGTATGCTGTTTCTACTATGGAAAATTTTCAAAAAATTCCCATCTTAACTTTCCAGGGAAAGTTTCCAAAAATTGTCTGCTCCTTTGAAACCCTATTAAAGCAAAACTATATAGCAAGCAGCCCTTTCAGTCTATTTCAAGTAGATGTCTCTGCAGTCAGTAAGTGGGAGTTTTGTGGGCGTGGTTTGGGTAAAACACGATTGATCAGATTGATTATTTAACGGTTCAGTTGGATGAATGACGGGCAGCTGGGAGGATGTGTAAGAAATGAGATCGCTAATTTTAATATGAAGAATCATTTTTAGTCCTAAATCCTTGAGTCCTTGATTCTCCCAAACCCACACTGCTTCTGCTAAATGGATCAATAACACAACAAAATAACAACCCACAGCAAAAACTGGAGTGTTAAAATGTCAGTGTTAAACTTATGGATGTTGATTTGACACCCCCTAGTGTTATTTTAACAATTTCTGAGCACAAGCAATTTGAAATATAAGATGTGTTGCATTAATGAAGCATTTCACAACAATTCTACGTTTACATGTGTTTCCAAAGTGTCAGGAGTTCATGTCGTACCATCCTCATCTGCTTTCACAGATCGCATCATTCAGCGTGTCACCAAACTACGAAATCATCTTTTTCTCCTCTGAAATATATGAAGTCGTCAACATTCTTGATTTCTTGGARGGCAACGTAGAACTGAAGGACGCCATAAAGAGGCTGGAGGATTTTGAAGTTGGCGGTGAGTCAGGAAAAACAAACAGCAGCTGGTTTTACACATGCAGGAGCTTGGGTTTTCATCTGATTGTGTGACGTGTCTGTTTGTGATTTGATTTGAAGACAAAAARGCCGGAACAGATCTAAACGCTGCCTTCTTAAAATTTGAGGAAGATTTGGCTTATATAAGGTATCGAGTCAAACCCGAGGGTTTTAAGGAACACCGCCACGTCCTGATCATGTTTACAGATGGTAATTTTCCCCTTCTGCTTTGTTCAAATGACAATTCAGATCCAACAAGGTTGAGTCACGTCCTCTGGACAGGTTCCTCATCTTTTATACAAAAGACGAAGAGTTGCAGGTGTTAGAAAGTAATCAAAACTGGAAGCCCGAATAGTGCAGAAAACCTAAATCTGGTTCTCTGTTAAAGTAATCTAAAGACTCCAATTTATCCTCAACACCTGTGTCTGTGTTTTCTCAAAACAAAATGGCTTCTAATGTCACTTCTGCTTACGCTTTTATAGAAAACCCTGGTTACACCCCTCTTATGTCTGCACCTAAACAAGAGTTTCTCCTGGGGAGGGAGACATTTTAAGCACACAAATGGTTATTCTCTTCCAAGTAAATGACTAAAATATAAGACTATAAAATGTAGTAAAATGTAACAAATCAATAGTTTGTCTGAGACACCCAAAACTGATTGTTCACATGCAAAAGATGATCAAGAAGAGCCTGGTGATCACCAGGCTGATGGTCTCCTGTTCTTCACAGAGGGCTGATTGATTCTCAAAAAGCAGTACTGTAAGAGTGGAACAACTGGACACAAAGGTCTCTATCCCTGTTTAACAACAGGCACATTCTCTACAAAGGTCCTCAGACTGCAGAAGTGTTTTGAACCTGTCCAGAACTCGTCCAGAGGACCTGACTCAACCTCGTTTTCTACATGGATTATTGAGAATGTAAAAGGACAGTTCAGTGTTTTGACATTTTTGGAAAGGATGCTCWGTCTGTACTAACTATTGATAACTATTTGAAAGAGCATTGCTTCAAAAATCATCAGACTATCTCATTAAGCTGGAAACAGTCTACTTTATTTTTATCAAATCAAGCTCATTCAAAGAACTATCAACAGGTAAACAACCCCACTTGACAAGATCAGAACTATTGCTTTACTGGTTTGCTTTAAAAACACTTCTTGTCAGTTTCACTGATTGAAGTTAATCTCATAAAAGTCATGTTTTATTTCCATAGATAATACAAGTATAATAGATAATATAATTAAATGGTTAATGTGTATGGTCTAAATTAAAAAGTTTTTAAAATGGATTAACACCATTTTTCTTCCCTTCAGGTGCTTACAACATGGGCGGCTCTCCTAGACCCACTGTGGAGAGAATAAAGAACATGGTCTACATGAATGACATGGCCAATGTTGGCTCCAGAGATGAATATCTTGGTGAGTTCTTTTTTTTATGAGTGCAGATTTCTTCTGATGTGATGAGCCATCATGTATTTATTTTTTAAAGCTCACAGACTGTTAACCTGTCAAAGAAAACCTTTCTGTCTGCATRCATTTGCAGATATTTACATTTTTGCCATCGGGGCTGACCTTTTCGATGATGACCTGCAGCCTCTAACGGTGGGAACCGGTGGTTCTCATTACTTCAGGCTAAAYGATAAAGACTTACGAGAGGCCTTTGATACAATAATTGGTAAGTCATGTTGTAAACATTTACAAATGATTCCTCAGTCTGTTTGTATGTATTTGTAAAAGTTAGGGGACATTCTGGTAATAAAACTCAGATCAAGGTAAGATGAGTATAATATAAAAATTATAATATAATATAAAACATAAATTGAACAAGGCAAAAGAGCAAAATGGATTTTTGTTATCCTAAACTTTACTCTAAAAAGTTTCATGCTCTACTTTATTAAGTCCCTATGAACGCTTTACACTACATACATTCACCCATTCATACACACATTCATATTTATATGGCGGCAACTAACAATTATTTGAATAATCGATTAATTCCTCAACATTTTTTTTGATTTATTGATAAGTTGGGAAAAGTATTGACGTAATAGCATATAATAACTCACTGAATGCCTTGTTTTATTTGCAATATTAGGTTGAGGCAAGTAAATAGCCCAAAGATCACTTAGAATCTTTGCAGTGTTACTTTGTCAGCAAATGAAAACCTAAAGCTAGCAAGTTCAATTTATTTATAAAGTACTTTTAAACATTAACTTCAAATTTAATAAGCTTAAGCTACTTAAACGGAAATAAAAAGTAACACGCACTTACTCTATCACTGTCATTAACCAGCTAACAAGTTAACAGCATCAGGACTGCTACTGGAGAGACTAACATTACGTTTCGTCACTTCCAAACAGAATAAATGTAGTGACTTACACTGATGTTTATCTCTCTTATCCTCATCGATGAATCCAACAAGTTTTCTTTTCAGGCACAGCATCATTCCTGTATTGCTCCTGTGCCTCGCCAAATTACTTTTACAAAGATAGCACGTTACACATTACCATAGTTAGATTTGTGAAGCGTGGAAAGCTCCCACACTTCTGAAGACTTCGATCAAATCACTTTTTCTGCATTGTTCATTTGTAGAATTCACTTCATTTCCTTACTTTTTGTGCTAAATGTATATAATGTGAAAATGACGGCAAAACAACGTTCACAAAAACAATTCTCCGATCAGGCTAGGRATTAACTCAACAGTGTGGATAACTTTAATTCTCCAAACTGAGGTTAATTAAAAAGCTATCTACAACAGGTAAGATATTCTTTGTAAATAATGTCTCCATTGTACGTCGCTTTGAAGGATGTGAGCTCCGGTTTAAAGACAGTAAAATAAAGTCCAGATTTAAAAGTGTTTTATTTCTTTGAACAGTTTTTTGTAAGCACGGAAATTTTAAAATGACAAAACTTCAGCTGAAAGCTTTTAACCCGTTTACTGTGAAGAAAGCCTAAAATGACCTTTGGTTTCTTTCAGGTCCAACCACTTCTAGTCCCCAGGCTCCTCCCCCTGTTAGTGCCACTCCCACCTCGAGCCAGGCTCCTCCCCCTGAGTGCCACTCCCACCTCCAGCCAGGCTCCTCCCCCTGAGTGCCACTCCCACCTCCAGCCAGGCTCCTCCCCCCAGAGAAGATGAGCCATTCAAGTACACAAGCATGACTGACACTGAGTCTCTGATTGGCTGTTTCTGACCAGGAGTGGTTTATTTCTGCAAATGGCAGCAGGACCACTGGGAGGAGCCAGACCGCTTCTAAAAAGACACGCATGCGCAAAGCGGTCGCTGCTTCCACCCTGGCTTTCCCAGCAAGATGTCATTTTTACTGTAATGCTATTTTCACTGACACTGTCACATTACAATAAATCTCTGGACCCGGCTGCATTTGACTCACAGCACCCTGTGTTTCTCTTTTAGTTAAATTTGATTCTCACATTTTTTATGTATAATGTTGATCTAAGCTTTAAAGTCATAAAAATAGTTAAGTTGCTGCTATTTAGTGATTTTAGTGTTACGTGCTTTTTTAATTTACCTACAAATCCTACATTTTCTGTCCCCTGCAAAGACATCACTTTGCATACATTTATATATTTATATATAATTAAATCAAAAATTGTTTAGAAATAGTTGTTGATCAAATGAGAGGAGAAATAAACATATTGGATCCAGAAAACACCATCTGCCCAAACCAGGATCAGGATGGTCCATGCAACTTCAGAGAAACCATAAAAAAAGCAAATCGAATATTTTCTTTGGTCTGTGTATTGAAAATGGTTGTGGTCRAAATTATTGCCAAAAGTATTCACTCACCTGCGTTGACTCACATAATCCATAGGGTTCAATGTGACGTTGGTCCAACCTTTGCAGCTTGAACAGCTTCAGCTCTTCTGGGAAGTCTGTCAACAAGGTTTAGGAGTGTTTATGGGGATTTTTGATCATTCTTGCAGACACACATTTGTGATAATGGACAGAAGGCCTGGCTCTCAGTCTCTGCTCTAATTCATCCCAAAGGTGTTCTACAGGGTTGAGGTCAGGACTCTGTGCAGGTCAGTCAAGTTCATCCGCATCAGACTCTGCCATCCATGTCTTTATGGATCTCGCTTTGTGCACTGATTCACAGTCATTTGGATGGTTGAGCAAATACTTCTGGCAGTATAGTGGCTGTCAGTTTGTGTGAAGTTTTACTAAATTTGTCCAGAAGATGGTGCTAAAGGAGTCAGGTTCAGAGGGTTTGTAAGACATTAAAAATTATTATTATTATTATTATTAT